CTGTGGATTATCCAGAGTTACAATGACAGTGTCTCTGGAAAAAAAATAAAAAACACACTGCTGTTGTTGTTGCTCACAGCAGTGAAAGTGACAAACAAAATTTCATTCACCTCCGTTGTACTGTGAGAGAGGAATCTTACAAAGATATTTCAAAACCTCATCAAACCACTAGAGGTAAGCAAGAAATGCAGTTTTTTTCACCATTTAAAACCTGTGAAAACTTATTCTCATTAGACATTAAATATTCATTCATTTTAGGGGCTAGTGCAACAGGCGCTACATACATATCATCACATTTTCAGTGAATATGGCTAAGATGCTAGTGAACAAGTGTCTATTTACACATCCAGCCGATACAGAGCAACATTAACATTCATTGTGTTGTGTTTATGGACACCTTGCAGGTGTCAGTTCATTATTCACTCTCTTTTAGCTCTGTTTTTGGTCTCTACCAACTACTGAGAAATATATCTGGCTCCACTATGTTTAGCTAACTTTGTCTGTCTGCTGTTTAGTGCAAGTGTGTGGTGCTGCTGCTAGAAACAACAGTGATGAGAGCCATTAGAGTGATCAAAAACATTAAAGGCTAGAAAACCAAAGCTGTGAGCTGAAAGACACTAAAAAGGCCCATAGAGCTGAAGGTAACTGCAGAGTCAGGGTACATTTTTTGTGGGGTTCTTTTACATTACACATACTCATTTGACCGTTTGATACAAGGTAAAAATATTGATTAAGAGCAGCTTTAAGATAAATGAGGAAGAAGACTCGACTCATTTGCTTCATCGTGACTAAGTGGGAGTGGTTTAATCGTATATGATTGACAGGGATATGTCAACATTAACAACTCCACAATTCATCAGATTTAGACTTCAATATTGCTAATTTTTCCTTAGAGCACAGATAAAAAAACAAATACAGAAATCTTACACATGAAATAAACACAACTGTTTTAACTTTGACGAAGGATCATTTTGTGTTCCTATAAGACCTCATTGCTCATAGAGAGAAGGCCTTTCAGTGGACTGCAGTAGACTCTTCTTTCGTCAGACACCTGGTACTATGTATCAGACTAAAAAGGCACCTAATATTTATGACTTGCATTGTCACGGGTTGCACTCTGACTCTATTTTTCGAATGTCACCATTTCTCTTTTCTTCTCCCTCGTCACTGTACACATAACAAAAATAATCCTAAAAGGACATTTGAGCCCAAGCTATAAAGTTCCAACATAGCAACTGTTATTGCTGTTGTTGTTGGCTTATGCGTGCTTTGGATGGGCGCGTGAATGAATGTCTCCATTACAGTTGTTCTGCATGCTGACAGCCTTCAGCCATTACAACCACCTGGCACGTCTCCACTCCATCAGCCCGGAGCACCAGTTGCGAGCGTGCGGAAGCGGCACGGCTCCGTACGTAACCAGATCCAGCTTTGATGAGTGGAACATTAACAGCTGCTCAGGAGGGTGTAAGAGAGGGGGCAGTGAGAGTATTTGTGTGTGTTTGTGCGTGTGTGTGTGTGCACACGTGTGTTCACACAGATGAAGGAGAGGGCGGCGGAATCACAGATGACATCTTAATTGGCCTCCGGTGCCAGATGCCAGGCTCTAAAGCCGGCCAGGCCAGTCCAGGCTGTAACAGTGTCTCAGCAGCCAGGCAGGGCTTTAGGCAGGGCTTCAGGAGCCCGCTGGCTCCACTGTGTGCTCCCACGGGTATTAGGTGCTCCAGTGTTGTGCTGCCACCCCTCCACACACACACACACACACACACATACACATACACATACACACATACACACATACACA